ACCCCTGATTCAGCTTCAGACTCGTGCATTTTAAGTGCATATGCATATCTAAATGTGTGTATTTATACAGATCCTGCCAGTGCGTGTTTTGCAGTAATTCTCCTTGGATGCTCTTGCTTTCTCCTGCAGTCAATTTGTTTGAATGACATGGAACTGATAATGAATGTGGTTTCGGTGCCGAGCGATCGGGCTGGCTCCTCTCATTCCACCTCTCCTCGTTTTGAGCAAGAACGTGAGGACTTGCTGTGTCTGGTTTAGATTCCATCATGAAAGGAATAATTGAGATTGAGATTCTTAGTCACTCAATGCAGAAGGTCAGGGAATTAATGCAGTGTTACATCCAGACCATTCATTTACTGTGCCTCCTTTTTCTTCCTCCCTTAACTGTCTGTGGAGGAAAACAAATGTGCCATGGAGAAGGTAACATATCTTCAATGCTGTGCACATCCCCAGCCTCTGATAATGCACACTGTTTATCTTTATTTTGGGGGTGTTCCAGGGTACTTTTATCATCATAATTGATTCGTGGAGGCAGGGGAAAAAACATCCCGGAGTAAGAGGAAGAAATGATTCCAGTGAATCCATTGACTCTGTTGTAGCATTGATCTCCTTCTGGAAATTATTTATAGGAGAAGATTCATAGTTACTAATATTGGTTTGGACGTGGGGAGCAGTTTATCAGAGGGTCTTAAAGGCCTTTGGTAACAATCGGGTAGAGAAATAAGGTAGGGAGCCTTGTTTGGGGAGAGGGAAGGAAATTGCATTCCTGGCATAAATCTAGCTACAGGTATTTGTGGTCCATAAGGTGTCTCCTTAACGCAGGAGAGCTGCACAGGGGCAAACCCAAACCTCTTCTTCCCCTGCCTTGCCTCCCTGTTTTGTTTTTACCTTACTTCATCTGTATCCTGCAATTCCTCAGGAGGAAAAGCACATCTGAAAGGGCAGGGTTTGTTTCAAGGGGTCTGGCTGGGTTTTTTTGGTGTATCTATAGAGAGAATTGCCTGGAAGTCGTGAATAGAATTAAACACTCCAGTTCTGAAAAACAAAATTCTCAGGGCTGTCTGCTGGTTTCAAAGCTGATGAAAACAAAGCAGGCTTTGAAATCTTTCCTCACAGAGCTTCCCCCCCTCCCTTATCTCAAAGATGGGCCTGATAATGTTTGGGTTTTATTCTTCTGAAACAGTTGGAAAATGCCATTTTCCCAGTTCAGATGAAAATCCCGATGTTTTTAATGAGGTCAGTGTGACATCTTCATTAGCAAGGTGCTGAAGTAACTTGATGCAGATCTGGAGCTTGCACTGGGAAAAACTACAGTGTCTACCCAAAGTCTAGAGCCACATTTGCCCTAGGTGTGAATTGGGATTGCTTCCCGAAACCCATGGGTTCTGGGGTAACCTATTTCAGTTGTGGCACTGGCTGGGGTGTTTTAAAGCGACTCCTTTGTGTGCAGCCAAACTCCAGTGGCTTTTGCTTGGTTTTCCGTGGTCTCGGGGAGCTGCAAGTCCCATGGATGGGCAGTGCTCTGATGCTGGGTTTGGGGGTTTTGCTTCACGTGACTCCAGGGTAGTTTTGTTGTGAGAATTGATTAGGGATTGAGCAGCTGGTAGTGGAGAGGGACTGAGTGTGTGTGGGGACAGGCAGAGCTCTCCACTCAGGAATGCAGGTGGGTATTGAAGGGTGGCAGCCCGAAATAGAAACATCTGTGTTCTGTGGAAGCTTTCTTATAACTATCCCAGGGAAGCTGCTGGGTGCTGTGTGTGTGAAAGCCTGTCCTCTGCTGTGACTGCTTAGGGTGCATAGAAAGCCTTCACCCAGCTCTTTGGAGATGTTCTCTGTGTCTAGCCAGCCTTTCCTGGCCCCTCAGAGAAGTCTGAAACTGTGGTCCCTTTCTTTGTGCTCTATCTCCTCCAAGGCAGAGCTTGATCTCCCAGCATGTTCCTGTACCTTGCAGACACTGAGGGTAACCCCAAAGGCAGAGATGCACTGACAAGACCAACTCTTTGCGATGATGTGTTCTGCATTTCACATGATCTTTGATCTCCTGGCAGCTCCCCATGTATTGCCCCTCCGTGATGCTGCCTAAATGATGTTTGCAGGTGAAGCCGTATCTGGGTGCCAGGAGGCCAGGCCCCAGTGTGCTGTCAGGCACCAGGTTGTTCCAAAACCCACCAGCCAATCAATCTCAAGAACTAAATGATAGATGGAATATAATATAGGTTATTATTTCTTCCTTATGCACAAAAATGAATTATTCAGTAAAGATTTAGATCCTTTTTATTATGACACTGGATTTACAGAGCATACAAAACATAAATGCAGATTTCTCCAGCACCAGACAGATGAACTCATCCTCCAGGCAGCCTGAGTTAGATGCAGCCATTCAGCATTGCTGCATGGCAGAGACAGGATGTCCCGATGGCTGCAAGGTGGGTACCAAGGACCTACACCTCCTCAGCTGCCAGCTTCCTTACCCCGCAAAGGATTCCCCAAAGCCCCATGTTGGTTTAGGAGCCCAGGATGTGTTTGTTTCAGGAATCGGGCTCTCAGGACCCATGCATCTTGTATGGCATTTGGAATCATGTGTCACTTGGGCTTTATAAATGCTTATCTTAAACTGTGCATCTCAGCCTCTGACCTGGATAGACCTGCCATATATCAAAAGGAAATCTGTTGTTAATGAGAAGTAGGTGCTGTATGATTATGTGGATAGATAGTGTTCCTGAATAGCTGTCTATGGGGCTGCCCTCTGGAATTTGGGTTGGTTTGTATCAACAGCAGTAACTTTGCTTGTTGGTGGGATAACTGCTCCCATTTTTAATTGTGCGGCTGGGGAGGTGGTTCCACCTGACCAGCAGTTACCGATGCCAGCTTCAGGGTTCATTTGCTGCTTCTGACAGTCTGCTGGGAGCTCAGGCTTAGCATGAACAGGTCAGAGAGAGGAGAGCAAGGGGCAAGGCTGCCAGTGCTCCCTGGGTTGGAGAGGTGGCTGGAACAGCACCTTTAGGGATGTGTGGTACCCAAGAAGCAGGACAGTGGGCCCTGGTTTGTCACTGTGGGCTTCAGGCACTGAAGGCACCTCCAGAGCATCCCTGCTGAAGTGGGTATGGCTTTTGCTTGCTGGGACAGGGAAAGGGGTAGGATCCTTTCTTAGGGGCGTGCTGACCGTAGAGGGTTTGCTCCTCATAAAGCTGGGGTTTAACTGCCTGTCATGGGTGCGTGCTGTCCAGGATGCAGCAGCAGGGCACTGGGCTTACTGGTTTGTAGTGACATTCCAGAGCATCACATGTGCTCCACAGATGCGGTGGGGCAGTGGTTTGCATTGGGCTGTTATCTAATGCTGCGGCATCTCCCACTTCCCTCGGGCACATTGTGTTCTCGGAAAGCAGAACTGGTTCCTGGGCATCTGGAGCAGAGGGGAGAACCCTACACCCCCTGTCCTGCCTCCGCTGCCCCTGGGTTCCTCACAGCCAGTCCCTAGTGGGGTTTCCACCTTTATATACCTCCATCATTTAAGGTTTGTAAACCTCACCCAGTGCAAAACCAAACACCAAACCTGGAGCCAGATTGGTGAATCTCAGCTGCATGTGCAGGGGAAACAGGGAAAATGACTGCACAGGTTGGAACTGCTCACCTGCCCCAACCCGGCCGTGGCGCTGGGAAAGGTGGAAAAGAGGAGGTGCCGATAAAGTCCTTCAAGAGCCATCTGCCCTTTACTGCTCGCTGACGGGAGGGATAGCAGTGCCGACTGCGTTGTAAGAGAGAGAAACCCACATTTTCTTGTCACGGGAGTTCCCTCCTTCCAGCAGCCAAACCTGCCTCGTGCTTCCTGAACCCAGGAAGGCAGAGGGACTGAAGGGGTGATGGGAAGCCTGGGAACCGCACTCTTCACTTAAAATTGCTTGGTGATTGTATGGAGAAATAGCCAAGATCGACAGGAGGGAAGGAAAAGGCTCTTCTGTAACAACCCCATCCATTTATTTTGCACACTGGTGCTGCTTGCCCCGCGGGGGCAGGGCCTGGTTGGTTCCTGTCCCGGCTGGAGTAGGGATGGGGGGGTACCGGGGTGTGATGCGGTAACACAGGACGCGGGGGTACCGGGATGGGGTAACACGGGACGTGGGGGTACCGGGGTGCGGTAACACGGGACGTGTGGGGGTACCGGGATGCGATGCGGTGACACGGGACGTGGGGGTACCGGCATGCGATGCGGTGACACGGGACGCGGGGGTACCGGGATGCGGTAACATGGGACGCGGGGGTACCGGGGTGCGATGCGGTAACACGGGACGCGGGGGTACCGGGGTGCGATGCGGTAACACGGGACGCGGGGGTACCGGGATGCGGGGGTACCGGGGTGCGGTAACACGGGATGCGGGGGTACCGGGATGCGGGGGTACCGGGATGCGGGGGTACCGGGGTGCGATGCGGTAACACGGGACGCGGGGGTACCGGGGTGCGGTAACACGGGATGCGGGGGTACCGGGATGCGGGGGTACCGGGGTGCAGGAGCCCCAGGCGCAGGGATGCGGTGACACTGGGGCTCTGCGGGTACCGATGGCCGCCGGGGCTTGGGTTACCCCAGGGCCCTGCGGCTCCGCTCCAGGGGGTTGTTCCCTGTGTTACCTCACGGGCTGGGAAAGGGAAAGGGAAACGGGGCGGGAGCGAGCTCGGTGCCGCGGGGCGCGCGCGCGGCGGTGACGTCACGGCCGGGCCACGCGACGGCGGCGGGCTCCGCCCCCCCTCCCCTCGCGCGCGCGGGGAAGGAGGGGCTGAGGGGAGGGGAGGGAGGAGGGGAGGGAGGGGGGGAGGGAGGGGAGATGGCGGCGGGGGGAGGCGGCCCGGCGCGGCGCTGAGCTAAGCCGATCCCATCCCATCCCATCCCATCCCATCCCACGTGTGACGGATCTGGCTGCTGCCCCAGCGCCTCTCCAGTGAGATCCTCCGGTAGCGGAGGGAGGAGGAGGGGGGAAGGGAAGGGAAGGAAGGGGAAAGGCAACCGGAGCGAGCCGAGCCCCAACAGGAGCCGGGCCGGGGGGGGGCGGGTTGGGCGGGCGGGGGGGGTCCTCTGAGGGGGTCTCGCTCGGCGCGGCCATGGAGGCGGACGGCAGCCAGGCTACCTCGGGGAGCCCCGGCGAGGCGCAGCACGACCCCGGGTAAGTCTCGGGGCGGAGAGCCGAGCACCGGCCGTTCCCCCCCCCCACCTCCGCCTCTTCCCTTCACCCCTCACCCCCCGCCCCGCTCCGCGCCGCGCCGCCGTGAGGTGCCCCGTCAAAATGGCCGATCCCGCACCGGCGCTCAACTCCGCTCTCTTGTCTCCCTCCAGCAAGATGTTCATCGGCGGCCTCAGCTGGCAAACCTCACCAGGTACGGGCCGCCGGCCCCCCGCGCCCCTCACCGCGCGTCCCGCCCCGCGTGGGCCGCGTCCCGCCGCGCCGGGGCCTGCCCCCCCCCAACCCCCCCTTCATTGCCTCCGCTGCCTCTCGGCTTCTCTGTCTCTCTCCGCAGACAGCCTTAGAGATTATTTCAGCAAGTTCGGGGAGATCCGGGAGTGCATGGTCATGCGGGACCCCACCACCAAGCGCTCCAGGTAACGCCGCCACCGCGCTCGCAAACTTCGCGAGTTGCCGTCGGGCCGGGCGGACCCCGGCCCCCCGCTCCCCTCCGCTGCCCCTCACGCGTGGCCCGCGGGAGCTTCCCCTGCGCCGCGTCCCTCCGAGCCGGGAGGAAGGGAACAAAGCGGCCGGTGGAGGCGGAGAGCGGCCGGGGGGGGGGGGGCGGCGGGACGGGACGACGCACGGGACGGCAGCGCGGTGGGTTTGTGGCTTCTCCCCCAGGCTCTGGTTCTCATCAGCCCCCATCCCCTCGCTCTTTGTCTCTCGCAGAGGCTTCGGGTTCGTTACGTTCGCGGATCCGGCGAGTGTAGACAAAGTCCTGGCTCAGCCCCACCACGAGCTGGACTCTAAGACGGTAGGTCCGTGCGTGGGGCTGCCCGCCCGCCCCTCGTCCGCGGCGTCAGGGCGACACGGTGACAGGGCGGCAGGCGACGTTACAGGGACCCTGCCCTCGGCTGCGGCTTCGGCTGGGTTTCTCTGCGGGGCGGCGTCAAGCTGTCATTGAGCGGGGACTTGGCATGGCCGCGTTTGCCCTGGTTTTTCCCCAGGCTCTGCCTTTAACTCACCGAAAGCGGTAACTTTGGTTTATTTTTCAATGCCAGTTCTCCCCCCACCGCCCGGTGGCTCCTCCCCCAGCAGCGGGTTGCATCGAGCGGTGACATTGAAAACATCGTGGAGTAAAACCCAACTTTTTTGTCGGTGTTCCGGTGCAGAATGCTTTCTGCAGGGAACTCTCCGCTTCTGTCCATTGATTATTCCTCTCTCGGTGCGCGTGTGTCAAGGTGGGAGTGCCTTGCTGCCAGATCCCGGGAGCTGCTTCCCGTGCCGTTTCCCAAAGTCATTTTTTGGCAGGAGCCCCCTCACCTGTGTTGCCGGGGCCCTAGGGAAACGTGGATGTTCGTCGGTGGGAAGCTCTGAGTGCTCCGGCGTGGATGCGGTGGAAAAGCACAGGTCCTCGTTTGTTGTTGTTTCTCCCGAGCTCTTTGCTGTGCTCAGTCTCCAGTGGGTGACATAAGGAATATGCTCCTGGGATTCAGCTCAGCTCTTTTTTTTTTAAATGAGCATTGCGCTTGTTTTTATTCACTTTTCTCAATAAAACCCCTATACATGCATTTTCCCCCCTTGACCTGATACTTTATATTTGACCTGACACTGAAAATGCCGTATGGGGCGTGTGTAGCTCTAGGCCCTGTTTTGTCCCTGCCATCAAGGCCATGCACAAAGAATGAAGTTTTGTGCCTCTTACTGTGTTGCCGTGTAAAGTCTCAGCAAACCTGGGAGGGGAGGAGGGAAGGACACTGGTAGAGGTCATTATCGCTTTGGTGCTGGTCGGTCTGGAGGGGGCTGGTTCGGGAAGGGAAGGGAAGGATGGTGTTGGTGGAACTGTGTCTGGCAGAGCTGCTGCTGGACGTACCGAGTGTGCTCATTGCTGTCGCTGTCTTTTGTAGTGTGCGTGCTGGATCTTGAAGGTTTGATTTAACGTGAGCATGGTGCTAGGAGGAATCCTGGCTCGGTGCTGGAACGTCTTGTGTGTGCCTGTGTGTGCGAGATTGCGGTGAAACGAGGGAGAGACAAAGCAGGGAGCAAACACGAGTGTGTGACTTTTTCCAAACGTAATTTATATGGAAACAAAAAGCCCAAAGCTCTCATAGAAGCAGGTGGAATCTCGTGTTTTAATTCGACCTGCAAATTCTGCTGGGCTTGTCTAAACGTGTAGCCCATGCTTGCACATGCCTAAATGATTTGGTTTTAGGTTTAATCAGATATGGTAAGATAACTGATTCAACTGTGCTCCCTGAGATTAAACTCCCCAGACTTCTCGTGTAGAGCTCTGTTCTCTATGTGTTTTTAAAGCTAATTTTAGATAAGAAGAACAAAGGCAAACAGTGTCTTGAACGAGGGTTCTTAAAAAACCAAATCCTGGGAGGACACCCTGTCATATTTCTGACTATAATTAGGTCCTCCCCCAGCTTTTTCCTGTAGCACAGTCTCGTCCCTGCAATGTATTAATTTGCTCAGCTCTGGGGGAGGGGTGAGAAGCTTCGCCAGGGCAAATGTGCCTCCGTTTTGATTGTGTGGTAATGATTGAATTAATCTGGATCAGAAATTAACCTCGGAATCAGTAAAGCAGCTTCAAAGTACGATCCAGAGCTAGGCAGGTTTCCCCTTCAGCCCTGTGTGTGTAGACATATTGTAGTAACTGTTCTTTAGCATAACATAGCATTTGACTCTGTTTCAACGTTCAGCACAGGAGGCAGATCGGTTGGGTATTGGCATGGAAACGTCGCTCTTGTTTACAGTTACGTTAAAAGCTTTGTTTAGGTAATGGCCATTCCTATCAGAAATAGTATTAGAGTCATTCCTAGAGGACTTGTAGATACAGTAAGTAGAGTTGTACCTAACTAACTAATTATTTTTTTGGTAGAAGTTTGTTTCTTTTATTTTGGTTGTTCTTTAAATAGTTGACAGGGATATGCAAAAGGTATGGATTTCCCGTGTCCATGGCTACTGCTCCTCTTCCAGCCCCACCGGTGCTTATCCAAAAGGTTTTGTGAAGGAAAATCCAGTTATTTAAGCAGGGCTGTCGCTGTGGTGCAAAGAACTCCATGCTCTTTGAACTGACCTTCAAAAATGAATGTGTTGCTTTTGAGTTTAATGGCCCCTTCCAACTTCTTCCCAGCGGGACGCTGCAGTGATGCCCTTCTGGTGGGACTGGGGCTCTTTGCTGGGAAGACTTTGGCTTTTGAAGAAGCAAATGTAGAAACGTGCACATTTGCCTCCACGTTTGGATATTGCTGTGGAAAATCCGTACCTGTTGTATTTCCCCAGTAGACAAATGCCTAGTCAGTGCTGAATATATTTGTAGATAATGTTAATCTCTCTGAAAAGGTTAGCTTTCTAGAGAAATAATTTTACTTTTGATGCTTTTTGAACAATAAAGTGGCATGTAATCGCTCATTTCTCAGGTGTGTCCTAAAAATAGCCACTGCATTTGTATCTGATGCAGGTGAATCAGTTTATCAGTTGCGCATCAAATGTTTGTGATATTTCCAATTTTGACAAATTAATTGAGTAAAACTGCTTTTTAGGAGAGTTTCGTGGTTACTGATCAGTGACAGGAATACATGTCACCACAGCAATAACAATACCAAATGGAAACGGCTCCTTTACCTGATCAGGGTTAGCTTGAGGGGGGGAAACCTTACAAAAACCAAACCCAAGCTACTAATGAAAGCCTCTGCTTCAGAACATGCCTTAACACAGCAGGATTAGGTTCATCAGCGTGTTATAGTCAAAACACTGAAAGCAGTTGCAGGTAGCACAGTTAAGGTAGGATTTAGACCTTTAAAACCTCTTTTTCCACATTCTTTATTTAGAAGATGCCTGTGTGCAGATGCTGCTAAAACCAGAGGTAAAATCAGCAGCACAGAGACGTTTTATTGCAGTCATTTTTACAGATGACAGTTGAGGCTGGGCAGTTGTTGGAAAGGTTTTTCTTCCCCTCCAGCCATGCCTCTGCGGTGGTGTCTTTTTGTTCTTAAGTGATTTTTGAGTGGTAAAGAGGAGCCACTTTCTGAACATGACCCATGTGGAAGTTGTTTTTAAAACTGCAGAATTAGCATTTGGGCACGCTTTGGAATGGGAGTCAGTGCTGCACCTTAGAACAAGGGAGCAGGGGCTAAACCAAGGGTGTTTTTTCTTCTTTTTTGTCTCTGTGGTGCTGTGCTTCACTGGCGAATACTCCAGGTAATTCCTTCATGGAAAATAATTAAGAACTTGGTTTCTCTGGTTTAAAACACTTGTACATTTTATGTGCCTTGCTCTCCTCTGCCCACCCTTTCCCATAAATGCCCCTTTGTCATTTTTATTGCTCACATGTATTCTTTGAGGGGGAGCAAACCAGCTCAATTTGGCATATTTTTGACAAGGATAACCTCGTAGTCCTTCTAATGTTTTAGTTTTAGCAGTTGAAATGTGAATTGGCTTTGTGTTCTGCATTTCTCTCTTTGTGTGGTGTTGCCAAGTCAGTTGACAAAACAAAGCAGAGAAGAAAAAGCAACCCCAAACCCAACTGAAGGAAGGTGCAGGTGTCAGGAACAGCAGGTGAAGATCTGATCAGGCGTGCTGGCCATATCTGTGCGGCCTCCAGAGCATGCAGATAAGGGTTAACACACAGTTTTGGTTGTAGAGGCATCACCTAGAGACTAAGAGGGAGCTCCCTGAGCACCAGTGGAGGTTGTTGCCTAGAAGATGATGGAGGAGGTGTACAGAAGAGATGTTTTCTTCCACTCTTCCTGTCTCCTGTTCCAGAGTAGTTCTGGATGAGCCGGTGTGCTGAATGATAAGCCTGAGAAATGAGGGATTAATAATTCAGTGATTTAAAAACAAAATAATATGAACTGACAACAAAAGCTATCTTGTTGATTTCCCCTTTCTTTTTCCTCAGATTGACCCTAAAGTTGCATTTCCCCGACGAGCACAGCCTAAGGTAAGTAGGAGGATCGATAATAGGATTTTAGGCACACAGAGAATCATTGTTGCCAGGCAGTTCAGGTTTCACACAGGGAATTGGCAATGAAAGCTTTTAAAGCCGGTGCATGGCGTCTTAAGGGTATCAGCGTATGGCTGTGAAACTACAGGAGAGCTGCTTTGTGCACTGTTACGTGTCTCCAGTTTAACTGTCTCCGTGCGGAGCCCCGGCCGGTCGTGGCTGGCTGAGGAGGGGAGGCTTCTCCCGTGGTGGTGGGAGATTGTTGCTGCATTACTCGCGTTTGTTATGCTGTTTTACGCAATGTGTTTTGCCTGGTGTTTATGAAGAGCAGTCGGATTAAGTGCAGACTTCAGGCGTGTTTTGAGCTGAGCTTTCAGTTCTGTGGTTGTGATGGATGGGAATGTATCTCTGCCTTCATTGTTTGCAAATTTCCTTTTGTATAACTTCAGAGATGCGCTTGGAGACTAATAAGCGTTGGGTAGCAAGTTGCTGGTGAAGCTCTGAACTCTTCAGGCCACGGGGTATTCTTTTGCAAGAACAGTGAAACAATGAGCTTTATGTCTCCAGCCGATGAGGCTGGCTGGAGGAGTGACCTCCTCCTTCCAGGGGACTTGTGATAGTGCAGCCAGCTTCCACGCTGGGACAAAGGCAGTGTAGTGATGTGCAGAGGAACTTTGTGTCTGCGTGTGCTTACTCTGACACGTCGCTGGTGCCATTTCTGCTGGAGGAGCTGCTTATGGACTAGAAGTGGTTGTTGCTCTTCAGGCTGTGCCTAACAAAACCAGCAGATCCGTTTTAAATCCACATGTGCAGCCGGTTGTATTTGAATTTGGAAAGCCAGAGGCTGAAAGAAAACTTTTGTAATTGACATTTTCTTTCGTGTTTGTTTTTTGAGAGTTGGTTCAGCTGGTGTGTGTCGCTTGTATCCACTGATCAGCTTGGGCTAGCTCAGTATTCCCCTAAAAATGGAAGGGCAAGGCTGCAAAGCTGCAGATGCAAGTCAGTAAGGAAAAGTGCTTTAAAGTTGGTGGCAGGAGATACCTGAACAAGTCAACCCAACAATTTTATTGCAGATAGCTCCTCAGGAAAGCAAGCAGTTTAATAGCATGTGGAACCATAATGTTAAATACTGTACAGAACACACAGCTAGTGTGTAATTTAAACCCCTGGGTGTGTAGCAGGATTTCTTTAAAAGAAGAAAAAAAAATGAGATAAACCCCAGCATTCTACTTGCAGAATTTGAAACCAAACTAATGTAGTCAAATATTTAGAGGTTCTTTTCCTCATAGGCCATATCTAATAACTACTTAGTGAGTAATGACGTGCCTGGCTTGCTTCTGTGCTAGCAAATTGTTTCTCGTTTGTAGGGTTTGTGGCTTGTGGATTCTGCTGTTGGATTAATGCTGCCTTTAAAATACAATTCCAAGTTACCAGGATTTTGAAGGGTTTCACAATGGAAGTATGAAGATGATCTTGTGCTGTGACTGATGTTCCTTTCCCCCTTCCCAATACCTTTTAAAGCCTTATTTACATTTTAAACTGTCTTCAATTACCGGTTATCTGTTTCTGCAGTGTTCTTTGTACAAGTTTAGAACTTGGAGCAGAGCTGTTAAGCTGCCCCGTGTGATTTCTTCTATAACAATTAAAAAAAGCAGGGCATGTCTTATGCCGAGGATATTAGCGAGTTAAATTTCCGTGTAAATGTAAAACCAGGTCAGTTTTACAAAGGGGAGTTTGTTTTTCTCCACGTAGGGTTTTTTTTTTTTGGTGGTGGTTGTTTCCTTTGGTAACAGACCTCTTTCAAGCATGGGGCAAACGCTGGAACGCAGGCTGGATTCCACTCTTAGCAGGGACTCGCTCTCTGGAGAGGTCATCAGGATCTGCTTCTGCTTTTTACACACGTCTCCTCCTTCCCAAAGTGTCAGGATTTCTATGGGCTCTTGAAAGAAAAGCTGAAGATTGGAAGGAGCCTTATTAGGAAACTGGAGAAAATCAGCTGCAATAAAGAGCAGATTGGTATCAGTTGTGACGTTATCCTGGGCAGCATTTCATCATCTGCATTTTCTTGTTTTCTGTTTTTTTAATTAGATACTGAATTAAGGTTTTGGACTTGTTCCTTCATCCCAGTTGAATAGCGAATGCTCAGTGTTCAAGTGTGACTGTGCTTTAGTCTAATTAACCAGCGAATGCTCGGGTCTGTGGAGATTAATGGCATTTAATGAAACGTCTGTGTCTTTCGCTGGGTGCAAGGGGAGATATTTTTCCTGGTCTTTCTTCCTGGTGTGTTCAGCAAAATGGGGATTGGGTTTTTTCTGTCACCTTCCTGGCAGTGACTGGGTGCTGAGGTAGAGGCAAGGCTGGGGCACCTTCCCCCTTCTTGTGCAGACAGACCTTCTGGCAGGCTTCCCTCCATCCATCCCATCCCCTTCCTTCAGGAGCCCTTTTGACCTGCCTCGGCAGGATTAACTCTTCAGTGGGCAGCAGTTCCCGGGCTCCCTTGCCAGCTCACATGCTCGCTGTGGCTGCAGGGTCACGCTCGCTTATTTGTGCACACACAAGAATCCCTGCTCGCTCCTTCCCCCCCTTTCTGATTCACTTTAATTGGCGAGCCTTCCCCTTTCAAAGGGCAGCCCAGTAAAAGGCTTTCTTTGGGGCTTTTTAAACTGCATCTCCATGATTAGACACCTCTCTGGTGATGCAAATTGGTTCCTGAGCAAGAAGTGGCAGGTTGTAAGAGTGGAGCATTCTTCCCTGATTTTCTCGGAATGACCCTCCCAGAATATCCTGGGTGATTGCCTCGGGTAGATGACGCCAGGGTTTGTAATCCTGCTCTGCTCCTGAAGTCCGGGAGCACTTGCAGCCATTGTTTTAGGAAACTTGCTGCAGGGGTTGAACTTGTTGAGGTTCTGGTGTATGGCTACCAGCGAGATGAAAAGAATAGCCGTATGCTTTCTCTTGGCTGCTATTCCTTGATAAGAATCTGTCTTGCTTCCAAGTGCTGGAAGGCGCTTTGTAACAGTTGAGCATTTATAACTCTGCTGACTTAAAAATCCTTAAAAAGCAGCGGTGCCGGGGTAGTAGTTTTGTATCTCCTTTTGAATACTGAAGACTACGCTAATGTGACTTTAATATACGTAGCCTGTCAGTTCTGACGGTATCTGCTGTATTAGGTGGAGAAGCCTTATCAAATTTAGCATGTTCAGTAGATATTCTCAGTTGTAAGCAATTCCCTCCCTCACCCCTCTGCCTTGGGGATTTACTTAAAGAACAAAATAAACCTGAAGAGGGAAAGGACAGCAGCCTCGGTCCATGAAGCAGCTCCGTGGCCATGGAAGCATCTGTGTGTGATTTATTAGTATAGAAATGTGGGTGCTTTGTCGTACAAACCCACGTACGAAACAGAGGCAGATAAAGCTTCAGTCAGAGTTTATAGTTAGTGAGGTGACCCACTGGGGTTTTTGTGCTCGGGTTTGTCCAGAGTGGGACTGAGGTCCCTGTTCTTCCCAGCACTTACTATAAGGGTGTAATGGATGTGGCTGGGAATTGCTCTGGCAAGTCAACAAGCTGCAGCTCCCTGTAGTAGTATTCGGTGTCACAATTTCATTGGCATTGTGGATGTGACCTGCTGACTGTAGTCTGTATCCTTCCTCTTCAGTGGCTGTTAAATGAAGTTAAAATCGAGTCTGTGTGGGTTGGGTACGGTCTTCTGGTGACCCTTTCATCACAAAACAGCAAAAGTGCTTTATTTGATGAAGGAAATCAGATGGTGATGCTGAGTATTGATGGTTTTGTCACATGGATTTCATTCTAACAGAGGACAGTTCAGAACTGGTAACTGGTTCTGGCATCTCTGCACTCCAGTGTCTATCTGCAAATGTGTGTACCCTGTGTGTGGAGTAGCTGGTTTCCTGTCTGGCCAGGCACATGGGCTGTAAGAGGTGCAGTTGTGCACATCTGTTCCTCCTTCTTGGGCAAAAAACAACAGTGTCAACATCTCTCTTTTCATTTGAGTGGCTGCTGGTTGAACCCCGGTGAAGCTGGCTGTTCCAGAGCAGCGAATGGAGGGCATGCCCTTGTGGAATAACACCCAGGCTAACCTGGGAGAGATTTTTAAAAGCTAACCAGTGGATGTGGATGTCTGATTCCAATTAAGTTGAGTGTGGGTGGGGTGTCTGCATCCATTGGCTGCCTGATAAGCGTGAGCCAAAGTAACAGGGAGACATTTCATTCCAAAGCAAATGGTGGACCTTGAAAATCAAGAGTTCTGTTGCTTGTTTCCTCCCGTGCTTCTGCCTGGAAACTCCTCCAGGTTAGTTCACTGCTTCCCATCTTATTGTAAGTATTGGGTAGGCTTTGAAGTCTGTTTCAAAAGAATGTGAACTGAGCACACGAGCAGAACTCCGGGTTCTTCCTTTCCTGCCACCCTTCCTTCCCCACCAGGCTGTGGAGAGCAGCAAGGTCAGACCCGTTCCCTAGGATTCCTTTTTGTCTTTTTAAATTCCTCTGCATTTGCAGGTCTGGATGGAGTAAGAGGAAGTGTTTCCTGCTCTTGCCAGTGGGCGTTGATGTGTACCTTAATAATGCTGCTGTATCTGCTGCATGCAGAAGTCCTTACCAGGCAGTATGAGGGATTTCTTTTCATGGTTGATGGCCAGTGTTTGGGCATCTTCTTCAACCAACCTTGACATGTAGATCCCTTGCCCAGGGTAAGCTGCTCCTGGAATTTGTCTGTTTCTGGCATTGGATGGTTAAATGGAAAAGTTATGAGTCTGAATACTGGCAAATCAACCCAGGTAGGAGAGGATCAGGGTTTTGAAACCCGTTATACTGGACTCAGATTCCTGCTCTCTGTGACCTGTTCAAGCAGAGCATGATCTCTGTTCTTCGATGCAGCCAGAGGAAGGAAGTGGCTGTGCAGGGTGTTTTGTGGAGTGCAGTGAGTTGTGTCAGGAGCAAGAGCTGAGCTGGGCTTTTGTTATTCTGCTGGTTTGGGAGAT